GGCCTAAATCATGTACATATACGTACGCTTTTTGGGATCTTGGCATGCAAAAGTAGGTCTTATTGGGGAAATATATCAACAAAAATAATAAAAAAAAGGGGCGGGCTTAGCGCAACTGTCCATTGTTCAATTACGTTATTCTTCAATCTTTTATAGATCGGTTATTTCCCTTGAACTTTTTCTGCTTAATATTTGAACAATTTTCTATAGATTTTGACACTTTCATTGTTTGATCGACGGATGTTTGGACTCTGATACCCTTCATTTTGTTATCGAATATATATATTTATTTTTCATATCATGTTGCTGCTTAGCACTGGGAACACTAATAATTCCCACCAGGGTCCTCTTTTTCATGCAGGAATTACCACAACCTCTGACGATTTGGACCCGAGCAACATTTCTAGTAAATATGGTCTCTGGGGTGGGGGGTGTAAAATTTACTAGTGAATACGGCCACTTAATCACACTAAACAACGGGAAGAAGTTGTCAGAGGACATTGATTAATAAAAACATTAATACAGTCTGAAAGTGCCATTTGCGGGCAAAATAATTTGGACCTTTGATGGGATATTTGGACATTGAAACATCTGTCGGAGTTCTGACACCCTCTTAGCAAATAAATTTTCATTATCATACAATACACTAGTATGTAACATTAGCGCAATACGGTCTAAAATTTATCTCAACATAAAAAATAAACCAACCACAATTTCAATGTATTCAATTTAATTGAATATATTTATCATCAATAGACGTTGGCATATAGGTTACAAAATATTTATGAAAGTAAATCACCCTGGAAACTCGACAGCTATTTGACTAGTAATTCTATAATTATTACAAGGATAATGAATATAAGCGAATTTTAAATTGTTAATACAATACAAATGTATTAATTATAATGAGTTAAAAAAAAAATACAGTTATAGTTTGTTCATCCTGCACTAAATAATCCCAGAACTGTGTTTTAACAAATAATCGTTCTACCTGCTAAAATGTCCACTGCAAATAGTTCATAGTTCTTTTTGTTTGTTCTTTTTGTTGTCCTATTTGACATAAAATTGCTAAAAGGTTAGTTATTACACAAAAACATTAATAAAATATAAAACATATAAAACTGGGATGCTAAAGTTCGATAAAAAATGTGATAGAATATAGAAAATAATAACGTTATGTGTAGACCTACGACGTCTACAAGATCGTAATAAACTAAAAATTATAACGAATTGGATGATTCCCATTTTGAATTATTGATAGTATTTTGTCATGAATTTTCTTTTCACATTGTTAATAATATATTAATCTACCTAGATAATCTACAAGATAACTATAAATTAAGCATTATGCAGAAATTTCGAAAGCCAAATCATGCATCCATCAGACAAAACACTCCATTATTGATATTTAGATCAGGCGAGGAATTGTGTTATCAACATTACAATGACTTCACTTTATTAAACTAACGATTTACACTTAAAAGTATATATTAAATAAATATACAAAAACAAATCTATTTGTAAAAATAGCTAAAAATCTCAGTCAATTTAACCAATACATATCAATACATAACAAGAGTGAAAATAATAGTGTCATGGAATATATTTAGGTATATATTTGGAGTAATTATAAATGGAAAACCATTAACCATAAAAAGGTTACACTGTTATTTTCAATGCAATATTTTAATTACGAAGGAGTTATTCTGTACATTTTTAGGAGTTGAAGTTAAAATAAATCCTCGAAAATAACAGTGTAGGTCTATATTTTGTAAAATATTTCATATCACTTGATAATATTACTTTTGTCGTTCCAAAACCCAAAAACTAAAACTATTAACATGTGCAGATTCCATTTTTTTCATTTGAACAATATTTTTAATTTTGTAATTAAGTCATCTAGTCATAATTAAAAACGTCACTGAAAATTGTCCAATACATAGTTTCCATAAAATCAATACACTCTATCGCCAACAACTTATGGTGACGCTGATTGTTCGGTCTAATCGGTGAGATGTAATTAAGCATCATAATTCATCATAGTTTTTTTTATATATAAACTGTTATTGTAACATTCCAACATTAGTATTTAAAATTGGACTTTCTTTAGAGATATTCCAGGTGTATAAATTGAACAAGCCTATTGTGTATCCTACGGCTTATATTTATTAGCCGAGGTAACTTGCTCCACTACTATAGGACAATCATTCGACCCACGTTTTGAATTTTTGAGGGTTTCAGATCGCATCTGGGTTTCAAGAAAACTACACAGAAAGTCTTAGGTCTTAAACACATTTTAAAATCAGTAGATTCTCATGAAATCATGTATTTAACATACAATAGTTGTATTATGTTCCCAATATTATTTTCCGCCATCCAGAGATTGCTATTCTAAAAAAAAATCTCATTTGGGAGGGGGAACCTTCTCTCAACCCCATCCCCCAGTTTGAGTATACGATCTCAAAGTCTCCCCTGTCGGACAGCTTACCCCACCACCCCCCAGAAAATATATCTTAGAGCCGCCACTGATTCCCATCGCGCTATCCTTGTGTTTCAGCTGGAGAGCTAAAATGCAATCTACGATAGCGCACCGTCTTTCGGATGAGACATTAAGCCATTTGTCCCGTGTGCATTATGGCCCATGTGCACGTTAAAGAAAGCTACACTATTCGGAATAGTGGATTGTCTTTATCTTTAGCTTTCTATCACATACATGTAGCAAGAATAGAGTACGGTAACGACTCAAAAATAAGGGTGCATGGCATGACATAGATCAGAATCCTATATGAAAATATACCGGTACACAAAATAAAATCCCCATGGTTAGGGATAAAATTTGACAAGATTGGTTTATAGGAAGTAACACATGCAGTCAATGACGTAGTCAGGATTTTTAAACAGTGTGGGACAATATCAGGGTGGACCCACTTTACGTGTAAATTCAAATAATGTGAACCCATTTTTCTTAAATTTGTCCCATTTTACGCAAAAATATTAATAATATGGACCCATTTTCTTAAAAAAATACTAATTTTACGCAAAATATGAGAAATCTGGACCCAATTTTAAAATGTGGACCCATTCTTTGTGGACCCAATAGAAAAAATTGTGCAGGTCTGTCCGAACTGTCGCAATGGCATTGCATGCAGTAGGTCTATACCACTGGTTTTTAATATGCAGCCTGTGGAGGTATTACCGTATAGGCCTATCTGGGCCGTGTGAAAATATTAAATAATAACAAATAATTAAATTAATTCAAATCATTTGATAAAAGTATATATAAATTTCAGTTCATGTAGACATAGACGCAAGTCCCTTTTACGATATACTACTTAATCCTATAGGCTTTCTTTTATCCATCTAAACAATAGAGACTTAATCACTTGGTAATTAACATACTTTTGTTCTGAAATTTTAACACCTGATTCTTTTTTTCTTTAGCGGTGCATGCAGATTTGCCATTTTTAAAAACTTTGTTTCAAAATCATTTGGAGCATCATCAATGGTGATATGATTTACAATTTCATACCAATTTACATTATCCATGTCAGTCAGTTGATTTGTTATTGCTTGAATAGATGGCGTGTGTCACTTATTTTTTAGAATTGTTTGTAAACAGATTTGTATTGTATATATATATAAGTTCATTTGTAAATGTTAAACGAGGCATTTTCCATGACAATAGAGATTGCATTTGTTGGCATTCTGTAATTGTTGAACTTTTCTTGAATTTTGGTGTGAAAATAATGATATTATGAGTAATAATTTTTTTTAATGACTGATAATACTTATCCAATCTAACAATTAAATTAACACTATCAAATGTGTCTTCTGAGTAACATATAGATTTTGATATAACTAAAAGTTGACATAAGCTTCGAATCCGTCAAGGTAACACCGCGCTGCATCGTAGCAAAATCTATACTGCACTTACAAATAAAGAAAATATTATAAGTAATATATAAATAAAGTAGGCCCTATGTCTTTATTTCGTAAGGGAAAGAAATGAGCACCTCTCATGTTAGTTGTCTCACATTTGTGGTTTTTTTTTCGCGCTCCGATAAGACACAGCAAATTATTTTTAGTAGAGAGAGAAGCGTTCGAGAATTCTGTAGTGTAATTTAGTTATTTGAGAAAGTTAACACGGTTGTTCTATGAGTATTGAGCAGTTCAACCGGTAAGTTAAATATCATTGGATTAAACTTCATTGTAAAATGGATCATAATTTATCGTATAACCTCAATAATTAATGATTGAATAAGATCGTAAAATTGAGACCGATATAGTCGCTATAGTTAGCGAGAAGTTTTATATTAGGATTTACGAATTAACCATCATTAGAATTATAGTTATGCTCAGAAATGTAGCATCGTATTAGGTTGTGTTTACGAACTTTCAACGAAACCGGATAAGTAAAAAATGACATAATGCCCAGAGGGTATGTCATTAGATCGCTCGTTTACGAACCCCAAGTTATTCGGATACGGAACGTAAGGTATAGGCCTTCTCAGCCCAACAAGGCAATTCAACAACGAATTGCCTCGCCTTACCTACGCTCGAACTCCAACCAATTCTAAAAAAAACCAGACCTTAGAAACTAGAGCCTAGCCAACTGGGAAAATAAAAAAAAAATTACAAAAATAACAAAGGAAAAAAAATAGCCTACGGACTTACTACTACTAGTTCCATTGGTGTTCAGAGCTGACAACGACGTGTCAACAGTTTGTGGTGGACAAGAAATGGGTCTATCGCCAAAAATTTCGTTCATCATCTCAAAATACGGCCATTCTGTTGGGGGTGTGGTGGGTGGGGGTTCGTGACTTCCTGTTGGAGTCCTTTTCCTGGGTGTATTTTTTTGCGCAGGATCTTGCATTTGGTATTCTATCTGTGCGTGCGTAAAGTTATAACCCATTTCCCGCATCTTTATAAGATTTCTTTATAAACGGCGTTGTTCCGTCGGGTTCCATCAAAACCATCTTGTATGGATGTCGTTCCCCATATGCTAATTAACGTTTGGGTTGCTTCGTCAGTCCACCCACTCTGTTCAGCTGCAGCCATTGTATATAGGGGTATATCGTTGTAAAAATAAACTTAATATTTTGGCTTAAAAATTGGATAATATAATTTATAAAGTGAGGACTACTCTAGCGATGTCACTGGACGAAGGCATGGATTATTGCGGACTCAAGTGCTTAATCTGAATAGATTTCTCATAAAAGTAAGGTCAGTTGACACCATGCTGTGGGCTATTGCGCCCGAGGCAGCCTCCAACCCTCCAAACTTATCCGGAAAGAATAAGCCCGGAAAGTCCAGATGGAAAGGATAAGCCCGGAAAGTCCAGATGTTTTAGTAATTATAGCTAGTTGAGGAATGATTAATTATCACCTTAGGGTTGAGTTATCCGGTTTTCGAAAGTTCGTAAACGGGCCCTTAGGTATGATGAATCATCTTGCAATTAAGGGATGGCTGTTTTGGTTGTACAGGAACAGAAACGTTAATGATTATTAGTAATTATTAAACCATTTATTTTGAGTGCGCATTGATTTGATTTATTGAGTACCTTAATTTGTGCTACAGTATTTAAGAGTCTAGTGCATTTATACATAGCGGAGTGATGTTTGCAGTGTTATGAGGCTTCTTTTTAAGTTAGTGTAAGTTACAGTATATTATAATCAAGTTGATCCCTGAAAGTGTTTTATCTCTAAACACCTGATGATGACATATTTAATGTCGAAATATTGCATCCCAACACGATGGCGTGTATTTCAGTACTTGGAGTATGTATTATACTTTCTTATATAACTTGAAGGTACAAAATCTACCAACTATTCAGCTATCAAGCTGATGTTACAATAATGTACAGTTTTGTGCTAAAGGTTTTAAGTGGAAATAAAATAATCTATTTATGAACCAATGAGGTTGCTGCAACATTGTGTAAATGTCATTTTCTGACATAACGTAACACTTAACCAATACTTGCAGTGGTTGTTGGGTGACTTTTAAAAAATATTCTGATCTGTAACTGCATCTATTTCTGCATCTCTGCGACATACGTTTGTATCTCTCCATGTGTAGTAGGAATGTAGCGTATTCAATTTTCCATGAAAATCATAGTGGTACTATTAAACAAATATCTAAAACATCTACTCACATAAGTAAAAAGAAAAAAAGAAAAAAAAAGAAAAAAAAGGGGAGGGGAAAAAAAAGAAGAAAAAAAAGGAAAAAAAGAAATGAAAAGAAGAAGCATTAATACAGCAATATATTAACTTTATAATTAAAATTAAATTTATTTAAAACTGTCAAACTAAGCAGTTCATAAAATTAATTAAAAAAAACCCAACATGATTAGGCCTAAATTATGAATATATATATATATATATATATATATATATATATATATATATATAGGGCCTATATATATATTTATTATATATATTATATATAGGCTATATATACTATATATATATGTATATAAATATATAGCAATGCATCCATTAACCCCTATAATAATGTGAAAAATAACACCTTCCATCCACATCTGTTGCATCAATAGTTATATCTGTAGGATTTCGTAGGTTGTAGACGATTGTGGTTCTGTTTTTACCACTAAGTGACGCTCTTTCAATGCTTTGATGACCTAAATCTGTCCAGAAGAGATAACTGGAAAAATAGAAGTAAATTTTAATGTCACATGCAATTTTGGCATTTCACACTGTTTCAACCGTCGAATTTGACAAGTTTGACAAGTTTGTTAGTAAAAGGATTATAAAACGTTGGCCACACCCCAGAGTAGCTACGTCACGGCAGATACGCATGTTGCTACGTACGTAGGCGTATAATTATTGCTCCTCGGTGTTCGCCGCACATGCCGATGTGTGTGTGGATGCAGCAGTATTAGTACGAATGCGATAAAACAGTAAACACGCTGTATTTAGGCGAACGCGGAATGTAACAACATGCGATATTTCAAGAGGGGCCAGAGCGGTCTCAGCAGCTAATTAAAAAATATTCAAAAAAGAAAACAGGTGAAATATAATCAATTATTTATCTCCTTTTAATTAATATTCCCTACAACATATATTGATGGGCCCACTGGCAGTTTAATTTTACACAGGCTGTAGGCCTACTGCCCATCTAGATGTACTTTATCTACCACGACTAGGTACCTAAGAATTGAAAAGCAGTTTTTTCTAGCCTATTGGTTTTGATTGGTTCTGTGCCTAGCCAACGTAACGTAAGCACATAGATGCAGGAGGATATCAATGATAAAGTAATTTTTGAAGGCTTTCATGGCGAAGTAATTATGTGTTAAATGCTTGCGGTACACCACAGTAGATAGTTCAGAAAAAAAACCTGTTGTTGTTGTTAAAAATGTATTGAAATTTCGATTGAGTTGTTTCAATCGTCATCTGGCACAGATCCGTCGTAAACATTTTGCAAGTTGCCCTGCCATTAAGAACAGTATCGCTATGAATTAATTAACATAGACGGGAAGCAAAATCTGAAAAATTAAAGATGCCTGGAAATATCATCTGGTAACCTGGCCACTACCTCTCCTTCTCTAAATGAAGATGCAGGATTTAAAGAGGACAGAATCCTCGGGGTCCGCCCGCTAGTCATAAAGTCTACATGCCAGGGAGCATATACTTAGAGTAACAAAATATATAATCAGCCAATCACATACGCCAACAAATAGCAAACAACAAAACACCAAAGCATCATTGCATAATAACAGGCTAATACAACGGAAGAAACAACTTTACTAAGGAAACAATCTAACAAAGGGAAAGGGACATCAACGATAAGGTGAAGATAAAGTCTCTTAATTATAGCAATAACACAAATGGGCAGGAACTGCTACAGTATGGTATGGAAGGGAAATAGAAAATCATGCAACGGAAAGATTAAACAGGCCTAATATCTACCTAAATAGCAAACACCTTAAAGTATAACAGAATAATGAATGTTGTATATTTATCGTACCTGTTTATATAATATCAATATGTATATAGGATACGTATATATATATACATATACATATATATACATATACATATATGTATATGTATATACATATACATATATATACATCTATATATACATATATATATACATATATATATCAAGGTATATATATATATATACGTATATAC